TTTTCCTGTCCCTGTAAGATGATGGATATGGGTTCTGCTTCCAGATAAACACCACTGAGATTCATTTTAAAATACTTTTAAACGATTTTAATAATACTTTCAAAATAATTTTAAAAACGGGCAAAGGCTTCTCACACACTACTGGTCTTGCTAAAGCGTTGTGCAGTTTACCTCTTAGAAAGTACTTTGTAAATAACTATACCATCTCTAAGTGATATGAATAAAGATTGCTACGTGCACTTAGTAACTTTCCAACATGACTATAAAGAATTCTATGAAATTATTCAAGTTAGCAGCTTTACTTTCCTTAGGGTTGAAATGCAGGTGGAGACGGGGACCGAACATCAGACATCACAAAAGTGTTACTGATTTTAACAACAGGACTTCAATGAAAATACACATTCTTCCCTGCACAGCAACCTTTTATTTCTAAATGTGAGAATCACTTGAGCTAATCAAAATCATCTTGACAGGTGAAGACCCTGCAGAGATAGGAAGAAGCATATCTAGACAAGGCATGCTGCCCACTTGTCATGATGCGGTTATGACAAGTGCTTCAACTTCAGAATACCTGGACATCTTCAGCACTCTGACGTGAGTTCAAACAGTTCTCCTGTCTATTGGTTTTAGCAATTTACTCGTATCAAGGCAATACTGGAAACATGTTTTTTTCAAGTGGAAAATTATGATGTGTTCCCAATTTTGAATTGTGGAATATAGGTAAAAAAATCAAACAGTTAAAAGAATCTACATCATTTAAAAACCAGCAAGTGATCACAAGGAAAGACTGATAACCTGAAAAAGCCTTTTTGCTTCCACTGAACCAAAATGTTTCCCAGCACCGCCTTATGTGCATCTGCAGGTTTACCACGATCTATCATGAACCCAGAACATGACAAACTGATTACCTCATAATTTCATCTAAGCTTGTAAACTTTTTCAGATTTATTGTCTTATACTGGTGCCACAAGAAAAGATAGAAAAAGCGCCTGCTAACAGAGGCATCAAACCAGTTCTCCCCTCCTAGCCCGTCCTCTGCTCTGTTTGTCAAGTTTTGCAGTAAATCAAACAGATCAAACTTTAAGAAGCAACTATACAAACTCCACCTTAAAGTAAAACATTATTTAGATCTCAGTCTTGACTGATGAAATGCGGTGCTAGAGCCTCAGTTTGCAATGGTTCATTCTGAGAATTTGAACTGAAAAAATACTTGAGACGATTAATATTGCTGCCAGAGATCCACACAACCTCAAGCACTGAACTGACACAAATCAAAACCCAAACACCTGGAACTTAAGCAATCTGAAATGCTGATAGTGACATACTCCTTCTGGCAGGTGCAACTGAAGCGTGTTCTTCCTTTATGGTTGCTCAGATATTGTAAGAAAATGAAGAGATGACTACTTAACAGCTGTTGGGATACATTCTCCCCACTTTGTGAGCTGTCAGAAAAATACCTGCCAATACCTTGATAGTTAACGTAATGGTCTTTGTAATTCCCATTTTTCATCCTTCAGAAGAATTCCTAAAACACAACTGAGCAACATTAGAACACTATGACTCAAAATGTTAAGTTATTGCTGACCCCTGTGACTTGTACAGGATGCGAAGAATTTATCTATTCTTCAAGTGACAACAGGTTTACAGATCATATTATATTTGTGGATTTTTGTGGATTAATAGTTCCTGCCAGTGCGTCTAGTGTGAAAGTTCTTATTTCCATTACATGGGGTATGTTTTTACTTTTGTTCTGTCAATTAAATACTTGAAATGTGGGTTTTCTGCAGTACAGCTTTGTACATTCTCAAACGACCAATACAGAACATGATACTAACAGAACTAATTCTTGCAAATACCTTTTCTTTTGTCGAGGAGCTTGGGGTCTTTACAAAGAAAGCAGAAGCAATGACAGAGCAGCTTAGTAAGATTCATCATATAGGAGCACTGAAATCACCGCAATTCGTAAGATAATGAGCATTTTTCTTCCCCAATTAATTTTCTCCAATCTCAAAACAGGACCTACAATTCTGCACAGTTCACCTGGAATCACAACTCCTGTTCAGGTACCACTGACAAAGGCAAAAACATACCACAACTTCCAAAAGCACTGCTGCAAGAACTTTGAAGAGCTTTCAAACCTCTCCACATAGTTTTGATTAAGCTCACTTTTGATCAGACTGCTGCTTCCACATTCCTTAGAGTAAAAAGGAAATGAGGGGGAAGGAGCAAACTCTGCCGAAGCTCTGTAAGAATGAAGCCAAGTTAATTGTGCTTTTACACATGACTTCTTGGGTCCCAAAGTAGAAAGAATACAGATTACAGACAGGTTTTGCTCTAATTAAAGCCATTTAACACGAGCACAGTGAGAAGCTGGGAGAAATCTTCAACATATCAGCATGTAGAAAGATATATTCTAATTTCTGCATATGTAACCCAGGGATGCTAAAAGGAATTGTAATTCAAATGTATTCTGTAAATCCTTTTCCTTTGCAAAGACGTGCACACAGCTCACCCCTGATCACTTGCATTTACTGGGATTGTCCTATTGTATGAAAGTATGTTTTAAGAGAGTTTGTGAGAGGGGAGAGAGTAGAGACTGGATTTGTGTTTCACATTCCCCTAAATCCACCTCCAGATTCAAAATTACTCATTTAACTGCAAAAAGATGCTACTTATCCCTTCAGGACAGTTGTTTTGGGTGCCATCCACAGTAGCTGAAGGTACCTACTTAAAAAGGAAAAAACATTTTTTATCTAAAAAATGTCTCTCCCCTTTTCTTTTTTCTTAAAATGTAAACTCTAAACTAGGAAAAAGCTGGTTGGTTTGGTTGGAGTGGGGGATTTTGGGTTTGTTGGGTTTTGTTTGTTTTAAAGAAGCCAGTTCAGTATTTTAGTCTGGGAATCCCTGTCTAGCCAAGAGAGAGCATGCAAAACAAGCAAGGGATGCTGCTCTAATTCTTTGGGAATTTTCCATCTGGAAAAGAGATGCAGTCTACACATTGGCTTAACTAATAAGAAATGCATTTCTTACTAATAAGTCAACAGAGATAAACGTCTACAAATCTTTCCTCTTTCTTGTCTCCATTCAACAAAATAGTCCAATTTGACACTAACAGGCAGTCCTCACCATTCTACCTCCTGTGCCCCCCGTGAGGCCCATAAACTCTCTTCTTTCCAAACAGGTAATGAAATACACTGACACAGCTGACAGCGCTGGCGTGAGCAGATGTGCATGAACAGAACCACCCAGCCAGGCAGCGGAGTAACACGTCCCTTTAGAGTTACTGTCATCAGATAACACAAACAGGCCCACATCCATTTTCAGCCTAAGACTGAACTTTTTTGCTAAGCTTTTCTTTTGAATCAGAACATGAAACAAGACGACTATTTTTAACCCCTTTGCAATGAACATGTACACATTTTAGAAGTGCTTTTATGAATAGCAAGTATCTATTGCTTTAATATCATCTGTTCTGGCTGCCCATGGGTTAACAGCAAGCACATAGTCCCCCTTATCCCCTTTACTGTTTTCAGCTGTGCTACTCTGCAGTCCTTGGTCTTCCACAGAAGTTACTTTGCATTTGTGCTTGCCATTAGTTACAAAATCACGCCGGCATCTAGAGAAAAACCCTGGATTTGCAGGCAGCCCTGAACCTTTGGGTGAATCCAGTGTATGAAGTCCAGCTGCATTTTGCTGTTGAGACACCTCCAGAGCTGACAAGCCACAGAGCTATTAAGACAGACAGGATTCCTGTGGTAGGGGATTCCTTAGGGGATTACAGAAGAACAGAGTATTCCATGAATGTACACTTATTCAGAAACATAAGCCCTCCCTGGAGCTCACCTGAAATTTCCCAAGAGCACTCAGGATGTAACTGGTGGATTTTCTGACTAGCTGAGGCAGCTTGAAAGAACAACTGTAAAAGATTAATTACTCCTCGTGTCAGAATACTACCTTCAAAATCCAGTGTCAGCATAAGCTATTGGTTTTTGGGTCCCTGTAGTGGATGTCATGGCCAAAATGGTGGCAACTCACTGTACAGCAAGGGGATAAATAAAAGGAGAACACATGTCAAAGGTTGGACCAGATGATCCTTGAGGTCCCTTCCAACCTGGTATTCTGTGGTTCTGTGATTGATAAAACACTGCCACAAAGCTGAAAGAACAACAGATGAAATACTTAGGTTACTCAAAATCAGTCTACACTTGGGTCTTTGCAGAGTATTCGCAATGTTTACCTTTACAAATTTCTCCATTAATTTCCCAGAGTTACCTGAAAAAGTCAGAGAATGAAAGACACTCTTCTGGAGGGCAATCTGGACAAACTGAATTAGGCTTCCAACTCAGAACTGCTCTCCAAAGGGACCTGCCTTCTCCGCTGACTGCACAGGCAACCCTGAAGCGTATGCTGAGCACTCCAAACTTCACCCAGCTCTTTGCTTAATGCCATAACCCAGCAGACACCGGTGTTCACATGTACAAAAATTAACTGGTACCCTCCTGTGCACCAACCGTACAAAAGCTGTCCCTTCCACCAAGAAGCAGACATCCTGACACATGCTAGCATTGACTGCTCATATCAAGGCAATACATTAAAAATTTAAGGTCCCTTCAACTCAACTCATTCTATGATGTTGTGAACATGCCTTGGGGATACTCCACCACAAGACCTCCCTTTATCTTTTTTTACAGCTAAAATGTAACAGTTCTCATTATGAACAGGTTTCTGGGCCCCTTGCTCACTCAGTGTTAAAAGATGCAGTTCTTCCAATGATGACTCTGACATCTGGCAAGTGTCCCTGAAACACAGATGGGAGCAGTGATGTACTCCCTACCTGGCTGGAGCAGAGTTACTCAACAGTTACCCACATGACATCTCTGGCAGGTCCCACCAAGCCCAGCCCTGGAGAAGTCAGGACCGAGCCAGTGCTAGGCTGCCTGCGTGAGGTCTACATATATGGCAAACTGCTCAGAGGGGATGGCTGGAACTTAACTCTGGGGCGAGGGTGAACAGCACGACTGGGGCACTAAGCAATTAGTATTTTTAGTGCAGCAATGAAGAGGGATTTTATTTCCGCCCCCTCCCCAGCAATGTCAAGAATCTTCTGAAATGCAACTGCTCAAGGAAAATACAAACATTTAAACTCAACCAGCAACAAATATTTCTGTCCACTGCTGTGGCACCCATGGTAACACTGGGGGTGGGAAAACAGATCACTGAGAACTCAACTATTACTAATAAGCTGATTCACTCAGGCAAAGCACATGCTTCATGCTCAGTATCTGGGAGGCTTGCAGGAATTAGTGCTTTTCAATTGCATCTGTTTGTTTGGGGGTCTTGAGAGAGTGACTATGAACCTGATCATCCACATGAAGCATTCTTCCAATTTCGACCTCTGGGCCCCTTTAGGACACTTCAATTCCAACAGCTGGCAGCTGTCGTAAATCACAAGCCCCAGATTTTGGATAAGATATGTTGTTATAAAAATCTAGTTTATAATCTGGATACCAGGCCATCACATAGCAAACCAATAAACAATGTAATAACACAGATAATAGATGCGTCAGTGTTTTCCCAACTCCAACATTTACTTAGCTACCAGCAGACTCATACGTTAATGGCAGTCCCATAAGAGAAGAAACACGCTGTTCAAAGAAGTGCAGTCCAACTCTGATGTGCTGCCAGGGACTGAACAAGGGACTTTCACAGAAGCTTTTCAGTGTAAGCTTTGATAAACACAATCTCAGAAATGTGTTCACATCAGTAAGATAGCTGGAGAGAAGTCTGTTCACTTGTCTTCCCATCTTCATTAAAAAACCCCAAAATTTTCACTTAGTATTTTTCTCCTCCATTTTCATTTAGTTTTCTTTTTAAGTATTAGCATTTTCTTCACAGATTTTATACCGTATCTCATCCTCAAAATTTATTTATATGATGGATTTGAAGTTTCACAGAAAGGTATCTTTTAAAAATAGCTAGCATTTGGCTTAACTGGCCAACCCAGATAAAAAAAACCCAATTATTTTTAAACAGTTTTTATCCCCAGAATAAGGTTTATCTCTCAAGTAGTATCTAATAGCAACAGCAGAGGATGTACATTCTGTTCAATTCTTCTAAACCTCTCCTCAAATCTAGTGGTAAAATGGAGACTGCTAGAGCTGTCCCCCACACATCACTCCCCAATCCAGCCCAACTGTGGAAAGCATGGAGGGGAATAAACATTACCTCTTTATCCTTCCCAAACTTCTCCCTTTGCTAAGGCACCAAGGATGAACTCTTCAAATTAGTTTGACAATTTGGAATTTTGACAGCATTTGACAAAAATAAATCCTGTTCAGTAGTTACTTGTCACTGCTAAACACACACTATGAGAAGCCAGGAAGCTTCCGTGTTCCTTTTCCCTGGGCTGAGGCACATGCTACAGTAACTTTACAAGACAATGGTAACTCGGCCATTCTCTCAGTGACTTCAAGGAGCCAAACACAAAGGCAGTGTTATACTGGTGACACTCTTACCTCTTCTTCTTGGTGATAATAAGGACATCATTAAAGAGGAAGAAGTACACCTGCTGCTTAGAAGTTCTTTTAGAAAAAAGTCCAGTGTCTTCCACATATGCTGTTAATTCGCCTCTTTTCACTAACCAGCGTGAAGAGGAAACCAGTGGAAATGGCTACAAAGCAAGAAAACAACATTTTAATCCTTCAAAAGTAGAGGTTTAAAAACAATCAGCTAACAGAGTCTTATGTATTTGGGGAAAAAATGCTTGAATGAACTCAAATAACAGGTTATCAAGACTTAAGGTATCTTTGTCCTTCCTACAATACACAAGTAGTAGCATGCAAATACTTGAAAATCATTCATGCACATGGTATAATTGCCCATCTAAGGGAAGAATGAACAGACTTGATTGCTTCCACTGGGATGGAACAGACCATGTGAGATCTCTTAAGGAGATGATTAAAAATAAAGAGACTGTTCTCTAGGAATATGTAAGTTTTTGTGGAGTACGCAATCGTCCTTCAAGCACATATGACCTTTGGATTTTCCCCTAGGTACCTCACAGCTTTTCTGCCTACACAGTTGGGAAGAAGAGCTCCAGCTTCTCAGTGAAACCCAAGGGCTATTGCGCACCATGCTTCATCACTTCCCTGAGGCCAGCTGGTACTACACCGTGTCTCATTCTGTGTGTTCTGTGCCACACACAGAATAAAAAAATGTAAAATCCTTTAACAGAGAAATACACTGTACAACCCTCAGTGAAGTATTCTGTAAGCATGTTAGACACAAACAGATTAGGAAGAGAGCACACAAGATTAGATTAGTCCCAGTACAGCACTGAACATTATTATTGAGAAGTTCAGGGTATGCAGGCTTTTATGGCATTAAAAAGTAAGGCGAGGAATGCAGAAGGCTTAGCAATCATGTGTGGAAGCATCCATTTTCTACTCTGTAAGTAAACTGAAGTTTCAACACAGCTCTGAAAAAAATGTGTAAAGCAGTATGTGATACATAGGGTTTGAAGCAGCTGTCCATTTTAATGCCAAACCAATAAGTTTGCTCACAACATCATGAATTCACCTGTTTTTCGAAAGACACGTCTAAAAGTCTTCAGAGGACGTCTCTTCATCTGTCCACTTCTGAAAGGCCACATTAGCAAACAACTGTCCTTCCTCAGGATGACCTTCAGCTTTTTCCCCGTTTTCCATTTGGCCAGAAAACAGTGAATGCTACACTCAACCACAGTTGCTCTGTGATTTGCTACAGTGCAAGTCAGACAGCTCCAGGCAGCCACTATAGTGGGGTCTGGGCTCTTTAGAGCACCCCCTCAGACCAGGCACGACAACTCACTGTGCGTGTCAGTGGCTCTCAGTCAGTTCACCCCTCAATTTATAAGGTGTAGGTAGAATCATTCTTCCAAGGTAATTACCACACCAAACCTCCCACATTATTTCCCTTAATAGCAGGAAGGGAGGTTTTCCACGTATTTGCTGTCCTCACTAGGAGCTCCTGAAACATCATATGGTTACTGGTGCACTGTCCTAGCTTTATCTAAGATGGTCCCCTCCTCCCCTTGCCCCTCTTCTCCCCCCACCCCCCCATTTAAAGCACCTTTCATGGGTTTGTACAAAGTATTTCTTCATTCAGTTTGTCATCTGTCATCTTCATTCTGCATGGGTTGGCTTTTTGTATCTTTTAATCACTTTAGCTGCCTTTTACTGAGCTAACTCCAGCTTGCCAGCACTTGCCCCATAGTACTATGCCAAAACCAAAAGACAGTGCTCTGACTGCGATCTCACTGCTGGAAGTGAAGAATAGTAACTCCCTCATTTTCCAGGCAGCCACCCCTTGGTTTTGAGTGTCGAGATACAATTTTACAGGGGCTTTTCCAAAGATGTTTTTCCTGCCCCCATGCAGCACCGCAGCACTCCCACCTCCTGCCTTCCCTTAGCAGGCAGCACCCTAACATCATGTGAAAGCTGTTCAAATACCTGTTGCCCATCGAAGAAGCATTCCACATTTTACCTTGCCCTAGACTGATTCCTGACCCAGCACACCCAGAACAGGCAGTAACCAACATGCTGCCCTTGCCTGGTACCCAAACACAGATGTCCCTGGCACAAAGGTGACCTCTGCTGTGCTGTAGACCTATGTGAGGTCTACAAAGCCCAAATACTTCCCAAGCGGCTACTGATAGATACCAACATACTTCTTTTGCCTGCTGCAATTCCTGGTGGGTTTGCATTCATGCTACCAAGACATGATCAGTGTATGGAATCTTGACAAAATTCCCTTCAGATATTTCTTCCCAATTAATGTAAGCTCACATATTCTGTTTTGATTGATGTAATTTTTGCAGGTTTTAAGGTTTGTATTACCTATTAGTTTATTAAATGCATTTTCTACTGTATTCTCTCATTTGGAAATGCTGAATTTTGTTTCAAATCACTATTTGTAATTAGATTTTTGCCCAAGTCTGTTAGTGAATCAATCAGTTCGGTTCGGTGTAACTTAAAGTTCATTAACTGTCACTCATCCTGGATCAGCCACTTAACTTGGGCTTTCTGCCAATCCAGCTTCATCGCTTTCTCCTAGGACTGTATCAGGCCATTTTTACCATGGTTGGTCAGATTATTAAAGGGTTATTGTTAAACCTCAGAGGTGACGACAGGCCAGTCTAGCTCAGTGCTCAGACACAACACCTCAGAGGAACTCTTGAGCCCCATCACTGAAATCAAACACAGCTTTGTATCAACACTTGGCTTTAAAGCATTTGGCATATTTTCAGTCAAACCTCTGCTGGTTTGGTCCCTTCGAGTAACATGAAAATGAAGTTTTTGAACAAATGGCCTTTACATTTCTCGAAATGCAGTAATGGCTCCACGCAGTGATAGAGGAGTGGAGAACATCAGCCCGTGCCCCAACCATCACACTGTTGCGCTTGTAGTGACTTCACAAAATGGAAAGACTCTGGGCTGGATGGTCCCTGAACACTGAAGTAACATACATTTGTTTCATGAACAATAAAACAACACATTTGCAGGGAAAAAAAAACCAAACAAACCAACCCCACAATTTTTCTGGTGCTAAAGATGAAAGATTTAAGAATAAAAGCTTTGGAACATGAATTAAAAATTCAATTCTACAGATGAGCCATGTACAGAAGTGACATCTGAGCAGCTCCTCTTGTACTCCTGTGAAACACACTACAGTTACATCTAACAAAATAATAAACAAAAATCCCCAAACCCTCTATGAGGTTGAGCAAGAACAGATATAGCTGACCTAATTTATAATGGTTATAAAACAGAATTATAGCACCATGACGATCCTTTTACGAAGTCCTTTAAAGATTCCTATTTGAGGACAAACTAAATTCCTCTAATCTGTACTCTTAAGAGAGTTCATCACATTTTCCTAATTGACTCTATTCGAGAAGCAGCTTGTTTTTACTTTAATATTCATTTTTCCTTAATTGCCAAAAGAGTACATCGTGTCAGCTCTCTCCTTTCTATATAAAACAAGCTGTCAGAACTTAAAAATGTGCTGAAATGCAGCCAAAGCAGTCTTTTATATGCCAGCTGGCAAGCTCTCAAACCACAGATAAGGTCTGAACCACTAAGTGCACATTTAGGATGCACTAATTAAAAACTTGCATTAAAAAATACAGAACACCACCACACATGAAGCTGCTTCACGGCCATGAAGCTGGTGAGCGCTGCAAGTGACCACGCACAGGGATGAGTCCCACAGAGCCTCTTGCTCCTGTGAGGTTGGGATGCCTATTAGGCCCTGCTGGGCACTTCTGCAGATTCAAAACCCATGAATGAAACCGCTGAGCAGGTCACCTAAGGGTGTCAGAGTCCCCAAACTTCTGTGTCAGAACTATGCTCTTTGTTCCTACCAAAAGAATGATTGTAGAGGACTTTAAAAATAAAAGCCTAATATTGTATTTTCAATACTAGAAAAAATTTGGAATCTCTCAGCCTCCTAAGATTCTTTACAGTTATCTGAGGGTTATGCAAGTATGCCTGTAAAGCAAGACAAAACTCTGGCATTATCACTGTAAACTGTATTAATACAGGTGTAGTTCAGCTTAAGCAATTTCACCCCATGGAAGCTGCTTGCTATTCCAGGTGGGCATCGCACTGTTTTGGTCCTGCTGTCACAGGCAAAGGTGGGTGACTCCTGCCCACAAGTGTGACCTCCAAGTGGGCTGCTGGGCTCTCCCCACAGCAGCCCCCGAGAGCTGTGCTGTGCAGCACCCCAACGCTACCCTTCCCTCAGGCAGCTCCCACAAAAAGGATGGGGCCTCAGACAGGCAGTTTTCACAGCAGACTATCAGAATCATGTAGAAATAGACCGGAATTCCAAGAAACACGTCCTAAGGTCACTGGAAACAGGCCTGTGTTTTTATTTCATGCTGCTGTGAATCCAGATAGTCAAATACAATTAGGATTCCTCTTGGCCTGAAAGTAATTGCTCAGGTGTACTTTCCTATCATGTACAAGTACATCTCCACACCAACCAGCAGCAGTTGGCCTCTCTCATAACGGCAACATCTTTATAGCAACTTGTCTTCACAGCATAGAATACTTAATTCAATATATATATAAAAATGTTTTGCTATAACATAATCTTTCTACTTGAAATGGAAATACCAGACAAAAGGTTTAATTCTTATCCTGCCATAACACATCATTTCTTTGCAAGAATTACTGTGTCATACAAAGAGGCTATTGAAGTTCCACTATTGCTGTATCAATTACAAACGCTGCTGCACCCTTTAAAGGCAGACATAATTTGTTCCTCACCTACAGTCAGAAATCTAAGCAAAACCCTAAAAATACCTATGGCTACATATATCTACAGCTCACAGAAAAGTCAGTCCACATGTATAGAAACTTACTAGAACATCTCCACGCACTGCCACAGCACATGCCAAAATGAGAAGACAAAATGCTTCGCAATGCAATGGCTCCCTCAAAACATTTCTTTAATTCCTCCAAGAAGTACCCACTCTCAAGAGACTTCAGCAACTACTCAATTAAGCAGACACACTGTTCAATGACCTCCATTTCCAGTGGGGAGCTGCAACGATTCCTCCACACATCAGAAATGATGCTGTACAGTCTTCTGTATTTGTTTTATGTGAGGAGAAGAGAGAGAGAGACAAAAAAGCAATTCAAACTCCAACAGGACTTACTTACTCTCTGAGTTTCCAGAACTTCTCCTGCCTCAGAATCTAAACTTGCTTCCTTGACTGAAAGGTCAGGTCAGTATTACAGCCTGCACTAGTTACTTTTTATGCTGGCAATGATCCTATTGACATTTAATATGTGGTCAAAGCTATTCATGTGCCACATGATTTATGGTGACAAATATCATCATCATACCTTGATTTTAAATTCCAGCTGGGAGTTAATTGTGTACATCATTTCTGTCCTTTCCATTTTCCGAGCACCTTCGTTGCACAAACGTACCAACTAAAAAGGAGACATTAATTTAACAGGCTTCATGTACTTGAGATTTGTAATACGAACTTTCGTAGCTTTATAAAGTACATTTCTGGGGGAGCATAAAATTGACACAGGAACAAGATTTTCATGCACGGTCACAGCCCCATTTCCAAGACCACACTGAAAGCAGCCCTGAGTGACCAGGTCTGACAGCAATTCTGCCTTGAGGCTGGACTGCATGACCAGAGATCCCCCTCAACCTGCATTATCCAGTACTACTACAGTAATTATTTATTCTTCAGGGGCATCCATATGGTACAAAGGTTCAGCCCAAAGTTCTGATGGAGAATCGCCACAGCTCTGCCTGCATTAATGATCAGCTCCAAAACAAGCAACCTTCAGACTGGTGCAGCAGCATGACATGCTGCCATGTCCACCACACACAGATGGCAGCCCCAACACAGGCGTCAAGCTACCAGCTTGCTAAGCTAAAGCAAACGGTATCCCAGAAAAAGTTCAGTTGCAGCTGACCTTCAGAGAGCAGTTTCCCTGAAGCCTGCACATGGGGGTGGGAAGCAGGTAAAAACAAGGGGCAGAGATGGAAGGGCATGAAAACACATTCCTCATGACCCCACAGCATCACATGCGGGCCTCTCAACCACCAATAGGCCTCTTCCTCCTCTATAACCCAGCGCTTCACACGCCACACGCTGTTCCTTCAGGAAAACCCAGCTGAGGTGCAGCAGCACAATGTTGCCAGGTTTAGACTCTCTTCTTAAGTAATAACCAAACAGTAATTTAGGCCTAAAACTGATCCCTAATGGCCTTTCTTTGAAGAATTTAGAGGCTTTATGCTTTAGTGCTCTTGCCCTTTACATTACCTATGCATGGAAATCATATTTTTTTCCCTTAAAGTAGACAAGGGTGTCTAGGGCCAAGGTAATGTCTAGCCCCGATGTGCCAAGAAAGATTTTTTTTTACTAAAGCATGCCCAGCACTTCACATTCACAACAGCCTCTGATGAACTGCGGTTTCTGAAATTCTGAGAACTTGGTGGCAAAAAATAACCAGTCCTTAGATCCATGGGATTTCTTTTCACACCACCATGTTCTGTTTTAAGGAGCTGACAATTTCCAGAATATATTAAAACAGATGGATTGGAATTTCCCACCAATTAAAAAAGGTAATCTGATTTCTCAGGTCCTAGTGGAAGGAAGTGGAATTTATTCTACAAGTAAGTGCTGTTGAAATTTACGATGTGTGCATGGAAAATGGACTTGGGCTCCTACTCCCAACCACTGATTCTTGGCAAAAAAGTGACTCCAGGAGAAAGAACAACTTTGGACCAGTGACAGGAGCTGACCTGGTTAACTTACAATAAAAGCAGATAGAATTCTGAACCTTCCATGGAAACGTAAGCTTTCTTTTCTCTACTGTCAGGACAGTGCTTGGGCTTTTTTGATTATGTCCGGTCCTGCCATACAGCTTTCTGTCATCAGGACTGGCAGCAAACAGAACAAGTATGCATGACTACACAATGGAACAGGTGAACAAGATGAATAATAAATATGGTAATTAATTCTCAGGTGTCTAAAATAACCCAAAACCATCCACTTCTCACAGTGGGTTTCCAAAAATGACAAAAGCATGCAGCGTGATTTTGGAAGGAAAACAGTCAAAGCAGAAAAGCTTCTGCATCCAGATTAAACTTTGAGGAACATACCTTGCTCACTTCTTTCAGAGCCTGCTTGCAGTTCTCATATTTCGATGAATCCTTGGGAGTTTTCTGACAAATAGTCTGAAATAAAATGCCAGTGACTTCAGAGGACTAGGAAGCACAGGTTGTGACAAAGAACTGCACATACATATTAATTGAAATCAGAGGTGAAGTCACAGCTGGGGACTGAGATCAACGAGACAACATTGGATCACTTCCTCCAGAGCGCTTTGTCACACTAACAGAACACCTCCCCTGAAAGCTTTTGGAGCCACATGGTGTTACACATCTTGTGGCCCTTCTTCGCCACAGCAGCACTGTGGAAGAGGGAGGCTGCACCCTCCCAGGACAGGGGAAACTTCATCAACTTATCTCCAACTTCTGTCAACCCACAACAAATTGCACTGCAGCCGTACGGAACGAGGTTCTTCCTATTCCAGTGTTAGGCTTTTTCTGGAAGTTGAAATTCCCAGTTATTTACAACTGCACTTGTTGTAAGTTGCACAGTAAGAAAACTGTACCAGATTACTCTGTCTGACCTCTCTGTGGAAGATTAGTGTTTGCAAAGGATTAACAGAAGAAAAGGCTCTTAAGGCTACACTGGTACATAGAATCATAGAATCATAGAATAGTTAGGGTTGGAAAGGACCTTAAGATCATCTAGTTCCAACATGAACCAGGAAAAAATATATGCATCAGTATTACCTTATTAAAACAAAAAAGGCACATGGAAGGGAGCACAGCTGCAGCACCCAAACAGAGGAAATGCTGGAAAGCAATTAGAAGTGAATCTAATCTATGGTTTACATGACAGTTACATCTATTTGCAGAGCTCATTCTTATGAGTTAGAGGTGAGGATGAAGCCCTACCAGAAATAGGCAATCAATGACAAACCAGTTAGATTACTTTCTGATTGAGAATCAAAAACATTTTATGATATTTTACTTTAAATTAGTCTTTGGTTTTAGTATGTTCTCTCCTCTGAATGTAGTTGGAGCTGTAGTTCTGGTACTGAAGCCTTAAAAATCAAATTCACTTGGAAGTATCAACGTAAGGGTTACACAACAATATCCAAGAAAAACAAACAAATTAAACGGGAACAGTAGAAAATAAAATGCTTGGTTTGCTTATTTAGATGTTTTTAGCTGAAGAGGGGGAAGAGGCGAAGAAAAGGAAAAAAACAAGAAGGGGAAGGCACACCTAGGGACACACTACAGTAATACTGGGTTATGATGCCATTTTTTACCTAGAAACATACTGCAGAGAAGAGAGCACTCAATGTCCATGAATGAACTAAGTACTATCCAGATGATCAAATTAATCAATGCACAGTTTGCACATATACAGGAGAACAAAATTATTCATCTTCTTTGTGGATCTTTCCAATGCTAGAACCAGAGCCTGGATTTTAATCTGCACTACTGCTGGTGTCCAGCTCATAAATTTAGTTCTAGAATTTTATCTAAAATGCCATGAATCTTGGTGTGAACTCTGCTTCACAAGTACTCACTTGCACTTCCTAAGGCACCCAGTAACCTGCACAGGAACGGAATGCCCAGTGTAACATGCTGGTGGGAATCGGAGTCTGTTGATGCTGTTCCATCTACAAACAGCTCCCATGCCTTCAAGAACAGAGCTCATTCTTCACGGCTACATTGTGACCCTCTTAATGACCCTCTTCCTGAAAGTAAGTATTTACTGCAGAAGGGCCCTTACCTAATCTATACAATGGAAAGTCTTGTTTTCCAAACTGTAGGGTTTGATTTTAGTCTTAACACTATACACAGTTTCTATGATAGGTTCCTCCTTGTTTTCAAATTCATTTTGACCATTTACTGTACCTTTTTTCTATTAGAATGTCTAAAATTTAACTTTTGAAAGGGGAATCAGGAGCAGGAGGTACCAATCACAGTAAGCAAACAAATGCAACAATAATTCATAATCAGTAGACCAGTATCTACAGCCTTGCTACATATCTACAGTACTTGGCAGGAGTAAGAAGATGAAGAGACTGGAGTGACCTAGGAATTGAATATGCAAGAAGGCTAACATTAACAGAAGAACACACATCAAGGAAAACCAGAAAACTGTTCTCACATCCATCAGTAAGGGAAGACGAGTAACTCTCTGCATGGGAAGAATGAGGAAAGAGATCATTGGTAAATTCCGGCAGTCTTCATGGGACTCAATCCGTGATAACACCTCTTTGAACGCTGGATTTGTGGCTCTGGTGAAAAAAGGGAGGAGAGAATTAAATGGTAAGTTTTACTAAAGAATTGTGAAAGTTGCTAGATTTTAAATAAATCATGATTTTATTAATAGGAAAACGTGTGCTATGAAGGAGTCATATCAACTAGCCTTCAGCCTTATTTACTTAGATATGCAAGACCAGGATTGACATTTGGAAACTTCAACTGCCCTCACACATGAACAGACTCACACGTAAAGTACAAGGAGAGCGTGCCTTTGACACTGATTAAACCGCATGTTATCAGTGGCCAAGGAATGGAACACAGGACCACAACCAGGACTGGCCCTTGCACACAGACACAGCTCAATTACTTCAAAGGAACTTGCATGTTAAGAAAAGCTAGGCATGTAAGCACATGCTTAGTTGGAAGCCAGGTTTTGTACCAAATACCACAGCCTTCTACTCACTCCATCTAGAAAGGGGGTGGTTTTGCAACCATATTTTAAAATCAGTTCTTACAGCAATCTCTGCAGCGTTCGCTGCTGATAGACTTCATTGGTGCAGTATTTGACATAGGGATCAAACGTTGAAGAGGAATGCTTTTCCACTATATCACTGATATCGTCAATAAAGATGTTGTTCTGATGTCTTGCTTCAAGTTCTGTAAAGAACCTGTGGAAAAGGAAAATAAGATACTCATGTTAAAAAAAAAAAAAAAATAAAGGCAGAATTTCTCTTGCAGTGATTTGCACTTCACCTGACCCAACCCACAGTTCTATAAGCTAATGACAACTTGAATGGTTTGTGAAAAAGTGAGATCATTTCTCCTTTGGCAGACCTACTGGTTAAGGGAAACCTTAACATGACACAGGCCAAACGGTGGCGGTGTCACCTGGCAGAGCTCCGTGTAAGCAATGCTGGCAAAACTACTTCCCATTCTCTAGCTGCCAAAACCAGAACAGCGTTACTGAGCTGGTTGGACAAGAATTTCCAGAAACAGGGGTGAAAAAGAAATAAAACAATTCCAAGCACACATTAAAACATTTCCTCTTGTAATAAAGGAAGCACAATACCAGAAATATTCAATGAAATAAAGTTATGTGTGACTCCTAAACCAAGAATAAAAAAGTACTCGTTAGGCTGAACTGGACAAAGTGCTCGTGTACCATATACCTCAATCCACCTCTTAAACCAAACACAGACTGGAAACAGTGAAAATAGGAATATAAACCAAAAGCCTGATGGATGTTGTCTCCTAAATACTATTGTTCTAAGAACTTCCCTATTGTTCGTCCTCTGTTCTGCCTGCAAGTCCCTTTGGCCTCTGAAAGCTTTCCACTCCTCTTTGCATTTCTAATTTCACCAGAAACCAAAGGCCTTTATTTCTGCGATAGTCATTAGAAATATCTTATTGTCGGGGGTGCGAGAGCTCTCACAGATCACCTACTGGAGGTCATTTGTTTCCTACACTGACACTCCAACATCAGCGCAATCCTCAAAAACGTAAAAGCTGCTGAAACCTCTCACATCCTGGTGTTGCCTTTCCATAGGGTGATTCACTTGAATCCTGAACTGCCTAGAGCAAACCAGCTAATGAAAAACTTCTTACACAGCACAGAAAAATTAAGGTAATACTTAGTACACCTGATCTCACATCAAGCTAAGAGAGTCTGAAACATTTCATTTCAGCCCTTTATTATGCTTTCTTATTACTAACACTGGTTCTTCAAAACCCGTCACTTTGCAGCACTGCATTTTTCTAAGCATGCCACCAACATTCTCCATTGTCTGTTTTACAAACAAAAAGTAAGTGGAGAGCAGGATGAACAGGAGCTTGTTGTACAAGTGTTTAACAATAAGGGTTTGCTAAAATTAAGCCTTTTTTTCAGGGGTGCTTAGAGGAACCTGCCTGAATCGAGTGGTTGCCAGATTCTCACTTGGTCAGCTGCAGTCAGAAGAATCAAGGGGGGATTTTTTAGTTTCTTTGGTTTTGAATTTTTTGTTTGTTTGGTTTTGTTTTTTAAAGTTGACACATTAACTGCAGGCTGAACTGACTGATGTGTACAGTATTATCACCTGATGAAAAACAGGATGCTGCCTACAAACAGCTGCCTGCTGCAGCGCACTGCTTTCTCCTCACTCTTCTCCCTGAAGTGGTGCAGCAGGATTTTTTCACAGCCTTGCCATGTTTGGAAAGCAGAGTCCTCCAGCACCCTCCTGCCCTCTACTCACCTTATTTCAAAGCACAAAACATTTCCAGTTGTCACTGTCCTGTATTATGTTAATACTTGGTTTTCTTTGAAGAGTACAACTGGCAATGCACACTAAATTGCTATGAGATCACATACAATACATAGACAGCTCCTAAAGTTAACAGTTGTGTGAAATGTCATGGGGGTATAAGAGGGGAAAAATAAAATAAAATGAAAAAAATGAGTCTCCAAGTGAGAGTCTACACTTTCTCATGAACCCCAACAGTGAGATTACAACCGCTGACCACCATGAACTGCAGACAACTGGAACTTGTTTCTACTCTACTCAGACATGTTTATAGTTGAGAAAACTTCTCAGTGCGCTGCCAATTTACTTTGCTCAGGAAATGAGGAAATACAACTTCTCTTCCTGCTGTATGTTATGGCATGCTGACAAGGTGTTTGGCCATGCTGGGCAAGAACTTCCACTTTCAGAATTTATCTGGTCCTTCATCAATGACATCCTCAGTCAGAGTCATTGTAAAGAACAGTAAATGTCTTCCATTGTGAAGAACAGTAACCATCTTCCATAGTGGAAGATTAAAAAAAGGAAAAAAAAAGAGGGGGCAGAGAGAAGCAGCACACTCAAATTCCAATCCCACAACATGTACTGTAAGAAATACTACCTCTGGAAATCATGCATCAAAAGTTTGAATCAAAGGCTGGGGGGGTTTTGCATCCAATCTGCTAACTACTATACACCATCAGTGAACCAGATGCATCATAAAATCCTTTTACTTAAAGTTTTAGGACAGGTTGTGTCATAATGAGCAGTACTGAGTGATCAAGTGATCGTACTGAACCAAATACAAATTAGTTGCACTGTGTGACTGGCTTTTTTTATTTTTGCTTAATACCAGAAGGATTTACTTAAAGCATTTTTTTCTGTTAAATCTGGAACTTTTCTGGTTAAAATTAGATCCAATTAAGTGAAAGTCAAACAGCATTGTAAGACAGCATTTGATTTCCCTCATCTTGTCCTTAGGTTGTTTAAAAGAAACATCCAATTTGTAACACTCCAAACTCCCCATCCCCTAAAGGCTATATGCCAAACTGAGAAGTACAGGTTTAGTTCACTTCCTGTTTGTTTCTTTTTATAGCAATATCTAGAAACACCAGAGATCTCGGCAATACTGGAGTTTGACCTGTCTTTATGACAAGAGATCCTCCCTAAAGCTCTGGTGGCTCCTCTAAAAGGTCTTTCCATGGATCTGCCAGTGTCTTTAGGCAGATCACTGGCACACTGCTAAGCAGTATCAAGAACAACCTCCAATACTCTTAGGCAATTTTTGTCAGCTGTTTTTTCCTACTCATTCGCATTGTTGTAATCAATGATTGATATCCGTAACTTTATCAAAAACCTCTAGTTAATTCACAAAACATAAATGCACAGTGGTACATGCACGATGTTATAAACTGTTCCACACAATTCACCTTTATAAGGCCTGAATGACGTCTCATTCACAATTGCAAAACTCCCTTCAACAGAGCTCTACTTAAATGGATGCCATGAACCATTTCCTTCGACCCTAGATAATGATATTAACTGAGCAGGACTTATATTGTTATGAACAGTCTATCTTGCTATCTGGATATTCCAAAAATAGACTGCACTGGATTAAAAAAGTTCTGATTAGAAAGGCAAAAAATCCTAGGCAGGCCAAGTTCGAGTCAGAAAAACAATTATCTTACAGAATCATTTATCTGGGAGCAAAATGTATGTAGAATCAAACAACAGCACACAAAAGGAATATACAGAAAAGTTGGAGGTACTGCAAAGAATCTAAGTAGTGTATTTACATCAAGGGTCTCCACAGCAGACAAGTGACAGCAAAGCCTTTCTGGTCTGTGAGACTGGGAAGAGGAGGCTTGGTAGAAGATCTGTCTGAAAGTGAAGTAAATGTGGAATGCCAGCAGAACCAGGTGATTATCACCCAAGAGAGACAAGAGTTAAACATAAAACTGATAGTAAAACTATGAGATCATTTTATTCTGTTTGCAAATTGACAGCAGACACACCAGAGCATTACTAGGTTGGTGAGGAGGAGGGATGGTGTAATATTACTGTTTTGTATACAGGTTATGCAGCAGTCACAGACTCAAGGTTCTCAGACATTTATCTGACTTTTTTTTTTCTCCTGCTTGCAGTACTAATGTCTCATCTCCTCGCAGGTTCATGCAGTTTTCCACTGTTACCCTGCGTTCTGGACAGTGCTGCTGTTCCGCTCCAGCAGATGCCACTGTCACTGAAAACAGCAGCCTGTCACCATCAAAGCCATCCTGTGTGTGGAACTGAACTGTGGTCTGGCTCACGGGTCACTTATTTCACAGTTCGTTATTATTTTTCCTGCATAATAATGTTTTTGAAGTCACAATGAGCTGTACGCCTGGCATAAGTAAGATTACAATGCAGATTTAGCTTCATAGTGATGCCACTGCTGACACATCACTATCCAGTAACAGAAAAAAGCCCCTGAAGTGGAAGCAAGTACAGTTTAGCTTCCTCCTCTTAGAAATAAAGGAACTGGAAAAATAATTACCAATTTCGGACAACTTAAGTAATAAAAATTCTGATTAGCCTCTCGAAATCTGAAACTTCTGACCAGGAACAGAAATTTAATATCTGCATCACAAAGTAATTTCGGGGGGGGGGGATTTAAAATAGTTAAAATGGGGAAAATTACAGCCTTATTTCCCTAGAATTTTTATGCTGGATCCGAATGAGAGCTTTTAAGAAAGAATGGCTTTGAAGAGGGTGACTGAAGCGAGGGACTGCATCCACAGGTTTTTGAAATTTATCAGTTTGTAGGGCAGTTACCACAGCCTAAATAATGGTAAACAATACATATATACACATATATTCGTAAGGCCAAACACTCCAAAGCAGCCCAGAAAAATGCTTTTTATGAGGCAATAGCCACTGAGCAACTACAAAGCAATAGAAGACCCCAACAGTCTGTTCTTTCATTCTGCAACAAACCCAGGGAAATTGCAGTGAGCCTACACACAAGTCACTGTCCTCCTGGTAAGCTACTTGCCTCTTCAACTATTTATAGTATTCTGGCAGAAATCCATAACAGTGAGAAACGCCATAGCAACCCTGTCAATATATTCTGCTCCAGCAAGATTCCCGAGATAGCAGGGAAGTGCTCATGGCATCTAGCTCAATGGTATGCGCTTCAGAAACACCCATCTTGATTCAAGCAATTAATACCCCCGACAAATGAACCCCAAAGAACACCCTGTGGCACTACAAATGTAAATCTTTCTGATATATTATGAAGACATCACAACAGGAGTCTTCATTTTAAAAAGCTTTCCCATGCTGAACAAAGTAATGCTTTTTACACTACTGAGAAGAAGGGTGCTTCTGCCTGTTTCCCTGAGCCTGAAAAGTCCCCTACATACTTACTTGTCACA